AAATAACCCAAAATTGAAGACCGATTTTTAAACACGTCATTTCCCTTTAGATTTATAAATAACTTCACCTTACAGACAAAAAAAAGTACAAAAGAATAAAGTGGGAATGGAAGGTAATTACGCCCAATACAAAAACACTGAATAGACATTTTAGAAAGGGGTGCTCTGAAACAAGGCTTCTTTTGTCCATATTCCTGCTGTGGATCTTTCCCCAAACCCCTCTCCACCTGAGCCCATCATCCCTGTTAGAAGGTGTGAAAACCCCAGCGTTTAAAATGCTCTGTGCACTAGAATGCAGGTGCCTCCTTAGACGAGCCGGCCAAGCCTGGGACACACGGACGCACAGCGCATCATCTGCCTATAGGTGGCGCTGCTTCCCCACATCGATGACCCACGACCAACTCGGCACGCAGATTCACTCCTGCGGCTCCGTTTAACTTCATCATCTACGTTTGCGTCTGTTCTGTCTCTATGAGACAGTTACCTAAAGGCTGTGTACGTAATCACAAATTGGACAGTATATGACTCACCTGAATTCCACAGTCCAGCATCCTGACTTACATATTTCCCAGCCCAGCATTTAGCTAATGTTCTCCAGGACACCCTCCCGACCTTTCTACTAGACCCCATGGCCTTCCTGAAGTCACAGGAGCAGTGACTTACTCATTCTCCGCAATACTTTGACATAATTGATACTCAGCCAGTATCTATTGGTTGCATGATATTGATTGAGCCAAATCACCCAAGATATCCCCAAGTTCCATGCACAGGTCCCTGCTTCCCCAAATAGGAGACCATACTAGAAGCACAAATTTGAGAGCTCTGCAAAGAGTAAACTCCCCCTAGGTTCAAATAACCTGGATCCAATCAAGTTTAGTCACAAACAAATTCAATTTACTTCCACGTGGAACTTTAGGCAGAAAATGTATCAGCCTTGGGTGGCAATTAGAGCCATGATGGGTAACATGTGCAGCCTTTGTAGTGCGTGGCTCCGCAAGTCACCAGAGAAAGAGGCCGAGGGACAGAATTCCAGCTCACATCTGACTGACAGCGGCATCAAGGGAACTCATATGGACGAGCTTTCACGATTCTGTGGCATCACCTTCTGAGATCAGAGATGTGTCCCGGGACTTGGTTTCCCTTAAGGGTGAAAAAATCATTAAATAGAATCCATGAACTTACATCACCTTTCCTGACTGCATTTATGCTCAGAGTTTTCTTATCGTGTCCGTTCTTAGGGTCACAAATGCCGTAAATGGACCATGCTGCTGAATAGCATCATGTCTCTTTATGTTTATCCAAAAATTGAATCAAGACTCCAGAAGCACCTTGAAATTAAGATGTTCTTCAACTTGATGACTGAGTTAAAGGTCAGTGTATTCACTGATCGATTATTTTATAATTTTCTTCATTTTAATTTCTACTCATTTATTTTCAAGTGAGTAATCTGTTTTGTATAACTCACACATAATAAATGCTGGAGAGGCTGTGGAGAAAAGGGAACCCTCCTGCTCTGCTGGTGGGAATGCAGTTTGGTGCAGCCACTGTGGAAAACAGTATGGAGATTCCTCAAAAGACTAAAAATAGACTTACCATAGGATCCAGCAATCCCACTTCTGGGCATATATCCAGAGGGAATCTTAATTCAAAAAGATGCATGTGCCCCAATGTTCATGGCAGCACTATTTACAATAGCCAAGACATGGAAACAGCCTAAATGCCCATCAACAAATGACTGGACAAAGAAGTTGTGGTATGTTACAGGATCTTGTGGTGGCTCACAGCAAAAGAGAATGTGACAGTGGATTTATGTATGTTCATGTATAAATGAAAAATTGTGCTCTACACTGGAATTTGACACAACATTGTAAAATGACTATAACTCAATAAAAAAATGTTAAAAAATAAAAATGCATACTAATACCAAAAAAAGAAGTTGTGGTATATTTATACAATGGAATACTACTCAGCCATAACAAGAATAAAATAATGCCATTCACAACAACATGGGTGGACCGGAGATTGTTATTCCAAGTGAAGTAAGCCAGAAAGAGAAAGAAAATACCATATGAGATCACTTATATGTGGAACCTAAAAAAAAAAACAAAAAAAACAACCTTATTTACAAAACAGAAACAGACTCACATAGAAAACAAACTTATGGTTACCAGAGGGGAGAGCGGAAAGAGGGTGGGAAGGGAAAAATTAGGAGTTTGAGATTTTCAGATACTAATATATATAAAATAGATAAACAAGTTCATACTGTACAGCACAGGGAACTATATTCAATACCTTGTAGTAACTTCTGGTGGAAAAGAATATGAAAATGAATATATGTATGTTATGTATGACTGAAGCACTGTACTGTACACCAGAAACTGACACAACATTGTAAACTGACTGTACTTCTATTAAAATACATATATATATAAACCAAGAAAACCCAATCATTTGTCATCTCTCATGGTTTCTGTGGGTCAGGAGTTTGGTGGTGGCTTCCTGAGTATTTTCTGCTTTGAGACTTTCATGCGGTTGGACTCAGGTGTTGGCAGGGGTGACAGTCACGTGAAGGCTCGTCTGAGGCTGGAGACCTGCTTCCAGGGCGGCTCCCTCACCAGGCTGGCACGGTTTTGCTGGCTGTGGGCAGGAAGCCCCGATTCTTTTCCACGTGGGCCTCTGCACAGAGCTGCTTGAGTGTCCTCATGACACGGAAGCTGGCTTCCAGCAGAGAAAACCATCCAGGTGTCCCAGTCTGCGATTTTATGACCTGTGGCCGGAAGTCACAAGCAGTCGGGGCTGTGGTGTTCTGCGGGTCCCATGGGCCAGCTCTGATTCGTAGGCGGCCTGCACGAGGGCGTGATGACCAGAAGGCTTGGACTAGAGGAGCCGTCTGGGAGGCCTGCTACCAGACACGTCTTTTCAATATGCGTATTTTATGACACCCCCCCCCCCCATGTATGCAACATTTGCACAAAGGAGGCAGGGCATCATTCCCGGAAGCATCTCTGTCTTCCTTGGAACTACCCTGGGTTTCCAAATTCAGAAACTCCAGTGAAAGTCTTAAAAGGTGACCTTCTCATACAGATGGAGTTAATCAACAAGGTACTGCTCCCCCAGTGCCTCTGCCCCATTTGAGTGAGCCAGAGGCCCCATCGTTTCCCTACTGTATCACCTGTCTCCTGCTTCATAACAAACCACCAAATGCAGAGGCTCCAAACAGCACAGCTTTACCATTTCACAGTTAGCTGCTGTGGGTGGAGAATTTGGCACAACTTAGCTAGGTCCTCTGGCTCAGGGTCTCTTTCGAGGCTGCAATCAAGCTGTTGGGCTGGGAGCCACATTCAGCTCAAAGTTCGACTGAGACAGGATCAGTTTTGCACAGGCTGTTGGACAAAGGGCCTCGGCTTCTCACTGGCTGCTGCCCAGAGGCTGTCCTCTTGGCTACACCAGCATCTCCACAGTGCAGACCATCACAGAGCAGCCGATGTCACCAAAGTGGGCGAGTGAGAGAGAATGAGAGAGAGCTAGCTGGATGGAAACACAGCCTTTTGTTACCTAATCTTGGAAGTGACATCCCATCACTTTTGCAGTATTCTATTTTTTCTCTTTTCATGTTTTTAAAAAATTTTTTATAATTAGTTTTATTTCTTTATTTTTAGAGGAGGTACTGTGGATTGAACCCAGGACTTCATGCATGCTAACTAAGCACGCGCTCTACCGCTTGAGCTATACCCTCCCCCTGTTTTTTTTAATTTTTAAAAAAATTTTCTGTTTATATTAATAACTTGTTTCTTTTTACTTTGTTTGCCGTATTCTTTTCACGTGAAGCAAGGCAGTAGGTCCAGTCCACATTCAAGGAGAGGGGAGTGCACAGGGGGGTGAAGGCTGGGATCATGGGGGCCACGGGCTGCCTCCTGCACCCACTACGGCCCCTGAGCGAAGGGGTGTCTCTGCCCTGCACATTCCACCCCGGTTTTACTAATCCCCTCCCTTGGGACCAATTCTATAGATAGACTAACCTGGGGTGTCTGGAAACCTTCATGGGAAAAACTCTCTGTCCTCTCACCAGTTTTAAGACTTCTTCCTTTTTCTTAAAAGAATACATTTTAAAAAAACATAGTTTTTCATATTTCAAAAGTAATACAAGTTCCTTGTGGAATTCCAACAATATCAAAATATAAAAGCTATAAATAAAACTCCCCTAATGTTCCTCCCACATCCTGGAGGTGAGCAGTGTTCATCTCGCGGTCTACCCCTTCTCCCAGTACATGTGCTAATGTCATATTCTTGTTAATTTACTAAAAAGGTTAATTTACTAAAAAATTATCAATCTCTTCTTTGGTTTGTGTTGTGTCTTACTTAACTCAGTAGCTTGACCATCTCCCTTTTTTTTTTTTTACGATGGAATGCGTCACAAATCTGAGTGTCATCTTTGCACAGGGGCCATGCTAACCTTCTCCGTGTTGTTCCGATTTTAGTCCATGTGCAGCCAAAGTGAGCAGCTTGCCATCTTTTAATAACAGCGTGTATAGATCTACCTCATTCTGTTCCTGTACACACGTATCATAATTTATCTAACCTTTCCCCTATTGGTGGTCACTTAGGTTTAAAAAAAGTTCTTATCTACCGTGCTTATTATAAACAGTGCCACAGTGTGCATATGTGGGGCTGCAGAGGGCGGGTATTTGCACACTTGCGTATTTCAGCAGAACAGGTTTCTAGAAGTAGAATGCTGAATCGAAGTGTATTACAAGATGTTCTCCAGAAAGGTTGTACCAATTTCAACTTTCCCAAAGCTAATAGTGAGTGTTTTTCAGAGGGCAGTCCCTGCATGATTTGGTCTGTTGCCTTTTACAGGGACCCAAGACCCTGTTCATTGTGAGAACATCTCAAAGCAGTAGAGGAAAAGTTGTCAAAGATCATGGCTGCAATCAGAAAACCTCAGATTAGTTCTCAGCTGACTCTGGTTCCGATTCTGCTTGGTGACTCTGTGCCAGTACTTGACGAGGAAGTGTAGCTGTGTGAACCTCACCCACACAGCTCAGCCCGCACCACAAGCAGGGTGACTCTGAAGTGTTCCCACAAGACCCAGCTCCTCATCCGGGGCAGGACATTCACATGACTGATGAGCCCAGAACAGACCACCAACACTCCCATCCGGGACCTCGCCAAGGTCAAGTGGTCATCAAGTTCCCTCCCCAGCAGGTGGAAGGGACCCTGCAGGGCCTCTGGACTGGGAAGTTTTCTTGATGGAGTCTTGCTAACACTACCATCTCAGCTGAGGTGGGAGGGGCTGAGGAATTCAAAGGCCAGACACCCTTATAAAAGCTGGCACACAAGGTCAGACCATTTTGTGTCCCAGTTTAGGCTGTATTTGTCCCAGTTCCAAGACTGCACTCACGATCTCCCATAAAAAGGGGGCACTCTGGGTGTGATGGCATACACGGGTAATAACTCACTGAGCTATATGCTTCACATGTGTGCATTTTACTACATGCAAACCACATTTCAAAAGAGAGAAGGGAAGGAGTGAGGAAGGGAGCATAAAAGAGAAAGAAAAAGGGGAAGATAGGAGAGGGAGGGGCAGTAGAGGACAGGGTCCCAGAGTGCACCTGCCTGTCCATCCGAGCACACCCCTCCTCAGAATGTGGGGAGAATGAGGACCTAGGGAACCGCTACCCTGGGTTCCATCCTGGACCACGTGAGCCGCTGGCACTGGCCTGAGCCCTTTGCTCAGCCATGGGGCATCCACTGGTGAGAGTCAATAGTACAAGGGATGGCGTGTTAGGAGAGCTTCTCCACAGCAACGTGTGGCGATGTCATAGTGCAAAGTATTAATGGAATATTACCGCCCCCACCCTCTCTTTCATTTCATGACCTTTCCCCACAGTCCTATGGAGAAACAGGAGGCTGCCATTTGTCCCAGAGAAGAATTGTCATGGTGGAGCCAGAGAAGAAAGCCAACAAATTGTTGTCTTTTAAATTCAAAAGCAGCGGCCCTTATGTAACATGGAAATACAGGTTGGAGGGGTGGAGAATGCTGGCTGAGTCAGTCTATTCCACTCTCCACCAGTCCTCCCCCTGCCAGCCCTCGCTTCCCTGCCTCCACCCTCCCATCCCCTAGAAGATCAAGAAGGGAGAGAGACCAGTTGGATGGGGAACTCACAGGAGAGGCACTGAAGATCACTATCTCCTGGAAGCAGCTAGCTTCAAAAGGGAGAAATGACAGCCCCCAGAAAAGTTTGGAAATATCAAACTAGGGGAACTTGAGTAGGTTTAAACTTGAAGTGTCTGAGTATGCCTGGAACCAAATAAGACTATGTTTTCTGCCACCAGAAGAAAAAGCTAAAAATAGAGAGTTTGGAAAAATACAGACTTTTTTTTTTTTTGCATCTCTATTGGTGGGAAAATGAATATTTGCCACAAAAGTAAAATTTTTTGCAGTGGGGGTTTTTGCATTCTGTATCACCCTTATTGCAAAGATGCATTTTCCAAGCCTAGAAATCACACGTGTGTCCTAACTAGGACTGATAAGAAAAGAAAAGGAAAAAAAGAAGAAAAAAAGATAGTTATGGCTCAGCTCTTGTCCTCTGGAGATTTTCAGCCAGGTCAGCTCAGACATCAAATGAGAAAACAGAAGGTACTAGATTTCCCCTCTCTCTCTGCCAAGAAAGATGTTCCCCAGGCCCCTGTGCCCAGGCCTGCCAGACCAAAATAGGAGAAAAGAACCACATGACAACGAGGCTCATTTCACAGCTTTTTTTACTTCCTCATCCCTGAATGTGACTCAGAGGACACCCAGGAACTGGATGAGGGAGAGAGGGTTCAGTTCTCTGAGTACCACCGAAGTCTGCTAGAGGTCAAGTGAAAGGAGGCACTATGGATACAGGCTTCTGCAGCCTGGACCCACCACCTGGACACCTGGCCCCCTGCCCTCCCTGCCCTCCTGCCTCTCCTCACATTCCAGCCTAACCCTGGCCTCCAGAAGACGTGGAAATGTCCCTGCGCGTGGGGGGCTCAGTTCTAAGAGCTGAACTGGGGGATCGATTGGCCAAAGGTAACAGATGGGTTTTTTTTGTTTGTTTAGTTCAAAGGGAGCAAATGAACCTAAGATTCTATGGTTTTATCTCCCCAAATGCGTGCGTGGTGAGCGGAAGCATGGAGTAATCAGCTGAAGTGCAGAAACCCCGCCTTGGGTGGTTGGCTGAGTGCTTGGGAAATTGTTTCTGAAGCAAGAGCAATGATGATAACCAATCAAACACTGGCTCGAGATTTTGCAAACCGGACCCGGAAGAATCATTTGAGTTCTAGACAGGTGTTGTAGTGTCACATGTTATGAGAAGCACAGGAAATCTTTTTGAGAGCCAGCTGGCTGAGAGACAGTCCAAAGAGAAAAGGGAACCCCTCTGGTTCACCGAAGATGGCATGTCGGAACAGCCAAGCTGTTGGAACATTTTAATTCTGGAAGAAGGAAGAAATCATTTGAATGCATTTGTCACATGTAGGGTTTTTCAGGGCAAGGCTCTTGAGCCGGAAGTTCCTTAAGAGGATGCGAGAGTGCGCAGACCGGAGCTCTCTGATTATCTGAGGACTCCGCTAAGCTTGACATCAACCTTGGGTTTCGAGTCTCCATTTCCTTTTCTCAGTTAAAACAATGAGTATAGAGACTGATAAGAAAATGATTATTAAATGTAGCTTAGAAAACAGCTAACTCAGTGGTACAGCGTCGTGACTTTTTGCCTAAACAAAATAGAAGTGAATTGTTGGACTTTGAACTGCTAAATTTAAAACACGAACATTTGCCTTAAAAACGGAACCCAGAGCTAATTTGTTAACCATTTTCCTAGAATTGAGCAAAAGTATGCAATTTTTTTAAATGGAGGTACTGGGGATCGAACCCAGGGCTCCCATGCATGCTAAGCATGCACCCTACCACTGAGCTATTGCACCACCACCACCCCCTCTAAAAGCAGCTGATTTTTAAAGCTACCTCATGGTCAACTAAACAGATTTTTTAATTCCTCAGAACTCTATCTTGAAAGAAAAAAACAAAAAACAAAAAACCCTCTGGTAATTGACACTTACTGTTTGTCGCCTGTTCCATGCTCTTCCTTGAGCCTGGTAATCAGGGCCCTGCTGGGTTTCTGGGTCTTCCAGCTGGTACCCAGGTTGCTATAGAGATGCTAGGAGCAGAATCCAAAGTGAGCAGTTGTCTGAGGAGTCCCTGCTCAGGGCCTGAAAACAGCTCAGTGGGAGCTTCAGCAGGTGACACAGATTTTTCCAGAGTTAAAATGAAAGCCTCAGCGAGCAAGCATTCACCTGCTTCCTCCCCAGGCAGAGACAATCTAGTTGTTAAGAGGTTGTCTCCAGTTGACTTTGGCCCATGACCTCAGTGTTCCTTTACTGGAAGTTTCTCAAAACATCTCCGGAAAGCTAGGGGTCACCAGATCCCCAGTACTTCCCACAGGGCCAGTCCGCTCCCTGCCCAGCTCTCTGCCAGGGTGCCCCAGTCTGAGCCAGAAACGAATTCCAGACCCCTCGGGTGGCCCCGGGGGACCTGAGAAAGTACCTGGGCCCAGGGCAGTGGCTAAGGGGATGGAGCTGCGGGCCCAGGCTCCTTCAGCTAAAATGGGCTCCAGGTGGAGGCCCACGGGGCCGGCGTCTTGGGAGACGCAAGGACCACAGCAGATAAGGGAAGAACACAGGGTCATGCCAGGGGCTCCAGATCCCAAACGTCTCAGACATTTGTTAAAGTTCTGGCTTTTTTTTTTTTTAATATTTGCCTTTATAGAAACTTGTTTGAGGTCACAAAATGAGGAAACATTTCTAGTATATATTTAAGCTTTTAAAAAGTTAGGAGGTCAAGGCCGTGATGCAGAACCTGCTTGCATGTGTGGCGGCCCTTGTGCTGATGGAAGCCCCCACCCTCGGGCTCCCAGCCTCCCCTGGCCGAGCTGCTGAAGCCCGGCCCTGCTGCCCTGTGCCCTCTGCCCTCAGGCCCAGCTGTCTCTCACGGCTTCTCCCACAATCTGTTTCGCACTGGGGAGACTCAGCTTTTGATGGACTGACACATCCGAGGCCGGAGACTTTAAAGCAGGAAGTGAAGCTTTTGTTCTGTGTGGCCAAGGGCTTGAGTCTGTCTGATAGTGGCTCAGAACTTGAGGCGACCTCTAAAGGTCAAGTTGCTCCCGGCTTCTGGACAGGAGAGCTCCGCTCCTGGAAAAAGGGTCCCCGCTTTTGCTGGGTTTTGTTTGCTGTTTGCTTATTAATTGGGGGGGGGCAAAGTTTGCAAGTGAACTGTCTTTGACATCCTTTGGATTCTCGGAAAGAAAACCGCTGCCAAAGCAAGAATAAGCGAAACGCTTCTGAGGGGGCCATGGCTTTCCCCTCTTCCTTACTGAGCAGGAACTGCCTTTGGAGTCAGGCAGACCTGCGTCCTGACCCTGGTCATTTACGTGCTCTGTAACCTTGAACAAGTCCCTTAGGCTGAGACCCCGCTC